ACTATCACAGCCGTCAAACACGCACTATGAAGCAATAAAAACTAGTGAAAATTACATCAATCCCTATCTTTCAAAATCCAACTTAAAAAATCAGGTACAAAGTTTGTTTATTCAAAAATCAGAACTTCTATTAATTCATATATTACTATTGGATAAATATATTATTAAATTAATTTAATTTATAAATCAACTCTAATCTCCCTATTTGAAATTTTTGTTAGAAGAACTCTCTACCGTGAAGATCAATCAAATTTGTCGTTAAAAATAGTAAAAAAATGTCAAAAATTAAAATGAAATAATTGTAATTGCAGTACCCAAACTTTTTACTCTTTTACCAATTATACCCATTTTTTTATAAGTACAATTCACAATTCCAAATCTTTAAAACTTTATTTTTTACCGCACCCTACTTCGTCTTTTTGGCCAAAAATTTATTATTCTATTTTATCCCCTCCAAAACCCTTCAAAATTCCTTATCCCAAATTTTTTATTTCTTCTCATTCCCAACTTTAAAATGCCATCGTATTACATAAGAAAGAATCAGCCAAAATCTCAGACAAAGAAGCGAAAAGTTGTATGTTCTCTTTGCTGTTTTCAGACCATTTTCAGTTTTCAATTTTCGAAAACACTGAAAACATGTTTACTTAATTATTTTCATAAACAAATTTTCAAAAACGAGATTAAAATTTACAAAGAAAACAGAAAACGTCAAAAACGTCGCTTTGGCTGTTTCCAATTAAAACCAAGCCAAAATGTTTTTTTTTAAATTACAATTGTTCAAAATGACAAAAAGAACGCGATTTAAGCAATTTTAAAATAGACACTTAAAATACAAAACTCAAAATAAATTAAAAACTCAAAACTAAAAATTGAAACCGAAAGACAACATTCCCTCCCTATCTAACAAAGAAATGAAATCGTCATTCTCTACATGTGCTCTCTCAAAACATACAATTTCAAATCCTTCGTGTCAATTTGGCCTTTGCTCTTCAAACTAGCTATGTCAACGAGCCGAGCCCGAGCCCAAAAAAAAAAGCTCGGGCTCGGCTCAAACTTTTTTGGCC